AGTTTTTAGACAATGACTTAACTTCCCACGAGTTTGCGAAAATTCCCTTAAGTTGTCGGTACTTACCACAAGTTCAGGGAACGTTAAAAACGCTCAGGGAATTTCGGATAAGCTGAGTGGTATGGTGAAGAGGTTCAAGGAGTTTCGTTTTTCGTTCATATAATAGAGTGGTTATTCAAGAAACGTCTTTCTTTACTATACTGGAGGTCACATTACGAAATTGAAAATGTGGCATGTAACGAAAATGGGGGGTGTTTTCAAACGCATATTTCTCAAAACCATTAATGGGAAATATGTCATGCAGTATCTCATTCGACGGAGACATTATCCAGCAATTTTTTGGTGTATAGTACAAATAGTGAAAATAATTAAGCAATTTAAAAATTTAACGAACAAAATGTGATGTTTCGTGAAGCAGTCAGAAAAGCGGGTGGAAGACAAGAATCATCGCTTTACAGCTCATGCAAAAATCAGACTCGCAGTGCGACTGCTCAATCGACGGTTTTCATTTCGGCGAGTTGATCGGAGCTCAGAGTAACGCAAGAATGAGGGGAGGCGAAGAGCAGCGTCCATACAATGACTGCCTAATCGCTCCTACCGTCTACAAACCAATTCCACCAAGCTGGTCATTCTCTAAAACCGGGCCTCATAGGACTAGGAACTGTAATTAAAAGTAATTGAAATTTCAAAAGAACTAAATTTGAAAAGACGCATCTGTGTCGCTTGATAAGTCATACATGTAAACCACACAAATACAAGAAATACACTTAAAGTATCCAAGACTTGACCGTAGATTTGACGTAGGATTACGTGCTCGGTATGAATATTTGGCAACTATGCTATGGGAACCACTATTTGCAGGCAATCGGTGATAATTTTGATCATCATTGAAACAGTTGGACATTTGTGTAATTTTCAATAGTGACCTATTAAAAATTGATAAAGTATTCATTTTAGCAGCTTGGTAGAAAAATTACCAATCGATTGGCTTGTTCAGAGTTTAAATCCATCCGCTATTGACAGAGTTATAAATGGTCAAAACCTGACCACTTTTCGTAACGCGGTCGATTGCACCCCCAATATGTTGCCGAAAGACGTAATCATACGTCAAAAAAAGTTCCCACCGTCATTTACAGCCAGGCAGTGGAGCTGATCGGAGCTTGGAGCCAACGCCAATTCAAGAGCCATCCTGCAACGAAGAAATCTTAAGCCCGGCAGAGTTAAAGCTGGTGGCCGAGCTGAACGAAAAGGAATAACAGTTAAATAAAACCAACAGTGAGCATTCATAAGGGCGTATACGCGATGATCGATTCTCTTCATCGATTTTCTCTTTTCTTAATAACTCGCTAGATTTAACGTTTGTCGGTGCGTTTGTTGTTTCTTTTGAAAGCCAATACAACCTATTACAACTCTACATTGAACAAATTCTACAAAATTGTTTCGCTTAGCTGTAGCAATGCAAAGAGAAAAACGATGAAGAGAATCGATCATCGCGTATACGCCCTTATGCATGCTCACTGTCGAAACAATCTTTTGTTTGCTCAGTCACCAGCTTTCACTCTGACAGGGGCCTTAAGCGATAAACGCTTCTGCCAAATCACATCCACCGTCAGCTCCAGCCTGACAGTCGTGTAAGTTGGGCTAAGTGACAACACTTACTACAGAGGGATAGAAGAAGTGGAATTCTTCATCCATATAACTGTCAAATCTCTTCTACCATCATGTACAGTTCAGCAGTCGGAGCTGGTCGATGCTCGGAGGCTGCACCAAAAACGAAAGATGCCTGCAATGAGAATTTTCGGATGTCAGTATAGGAGCGTAAGAAGAGCAAATTTCCAGGGGTGTTGAGAAGAGTTGATCTTAGTTTTCTTGTAAACGTAAACGTTTGCGGGAAATTCACACACTTTCAAATGTCTCCATAATGAAGACTTGTACAGTTAAAATCCTTTTAAAGAATATTAAGTTTACTTGACATATTCCATGTCAAATGACGAATCGATATGATACGACAATCTCCGATTTGGATGAAACTTTGAATAATTGTTTGTTTTGGTCATTTGACCTAAAATTTGTTGGTTTTGAAATTCGCAATTCAAATGGCGTATTTGGATTCAAACACAACGAATTAAAATTGCACCGACTTTACCTTCGTTTGTTCTGGCTAAATGGAATGACTAAAATAAAATTCAAATTGTCTAATTCCTTCCGTGCTTTTCGGAATTCCGAAATATGATTCAAAATGAGCAACAGCTAAACTCATTACACGTACCTAACCACAACAACCGAACAATAGATCACGCGCTATCGAGGTTTTGCCGCTGGGTTACAAACGGAAATCAATAATGTTTTTCAACTGGAATAAACTCACTAAATCATGCTACTCTAGGTATAAGACAGTGTTGTACTTCGTTGTAATCACTCATTACGTTTGTTCCAATATTAACACTCATTGATCTCCAAAAAAAAGATGCGCTCCTTGCTAATCCACTTGTTCCTCTTTCATCCGTAAGGCGAAGAAAATCTAATGGCGTTTCAATGCGTTAGGATGGAATTGAAACTCATCGGACGAATTTGGAATCAAGAAGCAGTGTTAGATTTCTAACAATATCTCAACAATTTGTGCCTCTTTATCAAATCCAACTGTGACGTATGGAAAGGTGAATAGCTTTAGAAGTTATCTTTTATAAAAACATTTATTTTTTGTTCAAACCCGTTCAACAGAGAGAAGTAAAGTCCAGGTTATGCTTAGTAGGACGAAAATTAGATCAACAAAATTAGAAAATTTAACTGAAAAACAAAATCTGTAGTACACCGTTCCACAAAGTTCCCATAATCGCATCCTGCCTGTAGCTCGAGTAATGTTTTTCCTTTTACTTTCGCACACTACCGGTGGAAGAATAACTGCTCCATGTGTATAGGAAATCCCACAGCACATGGGACAGTTATACGTCCACCGGCAGTATGTATAGTGGTTTAGCTACCGTCATGGGATTCGATCGCCGCCAAGCGAGAACGATGAGAAACGCGAGAGCGAGAGATCAAAGGAGATTAGCGAGAGCGCACATTTTCCCGACGCACGACTTTTCCCAATCGTCAAGTCCTCGGAGTCGGGGCGCTCATTTTCCTCATTCAGTCTGAGATTTCTAAGCAACCGCGCAACTAAACCGCTACTAGTAGTGCTTCCGACGTTTTCTTCTATCGCTTCAACAAGATAAAAAAATCTTTCCGCAAGTAAAACTTTCAAGAAATCAGCTTAAAATTCAGTGCTCAGCGTTTTTGTGAGTGAAAAAAAACAACGACTACACGGACCGAAGGTGGAACGGCGTTCAATTTATGGTACTTGTCACCGTCCGTCATGGCTTGCTAGATGTTTTCCATTGTTCGGTAACTGATCAAGGCAATCCGTTTTCGGGTGCGGTCTACAGGAATCGATCGCGTGAAGCCGATTGAAAAGGAAACTGACGATTAATCGAGTCAATTTTTTTTAAAACATTTTGATGAAAGAGGAAAATTTTCTCACCATTAGCAAAGTGAAAAAGATCCACCTCGCAGGGTGCAACCCGGTTCGATCGTTTGCACCGCACACTTACACCCCGGGGCTGCCAGAAGAAGAGAGTTTAAAATTGTTTAAAAATAGATTTTCTCCATTTTCGCCAACCCATTGCGATCGCAGCCTGCTGCTCTCGCATTCTGCCCCTCGGTGTATGGGTAAGTACGAACGGATTGTATTCAAATCACCGGTTCATGCACCAACAAGCAACCAGTCGGAAAAACGCGTCCGTTTCGAAGAGATTTTTCTGTCGATCTGTCTAGTGCGAAATTTGAGAAACGAAATCGATCATTAACGATTGCGATCGATTGGTGGATGTTGGTGTAGGTGTGGGAAAATTTATAAACTATGTTGTTGGCAGCTGGACGACTTAGAGATGATTTGTCTGAATTACCATCGGGACGACCGGAGGAGAAGCCGTTTGATGGAATCAGGCGGCGCTCTGCCAGTCAGTGGTTAGGGAAACAAGTTGTGGAAAACATATGATCGCTCCGGAGAAGTTGGGAAATGAATTGCGGATGGATATCTATTTATAACAGACGCGTTGAGTTTGATTTTTTAGGTTTTTGAATTTTATGTTCCCTGCTGTAGAATTCTGTGATAATTAGTGGCATCGGGAAAATAAGATCATTGAAATTCATGATTCGAGTGACCTTTGAATAACCTACAAGTAATAAATGGAAACACTCGATCAGATTGACCCATTTCGAGAGCAGTTCGTATGTTGTAAACAGATAGGGGTTCAATGAACAATATCAAATTTATCAATGGTTGGAAAGTTTTTCACTTATTAGAAGTGTATTTCATACACACCATAACAATATTGTTAGTCTCTTGTTCCACTTGCATCAGTCATATTTTTTCATCACTTGTAAAATAAGGCGTATTATTTTTGAGGATATTTGTCAATGATTGTATCGAGTTAAGTTTTCAATGTAAATGATTTTTATACAGTAACAGAGAACAACAAGTGAAACAAAATACGACAAACAAAAACAGTCTAGTGAAACAAAGCAACCTATTCTCACCTACTGCGACGCTTCAGACGACAATAAAATGTCCTTCCCATCGCGATCCGTTCCATCATTTGTGAAAGCCGCCGACGATCGCTACTATTATAATTCATCCGCTTCCTCGTCGTCGTCGACGTCCTCGTCAGACTATGAATACGAGAATCTTTTTCATAAACTTGATCTGCTTAAACGATCCCCCTTGGCTGGGTTATACAACTACGTCGTCCATCATGAAGATACCGCGAAACCTCCCCCGACCTCAACCGACAAAATCCCTGTTGTTGAGGTTACTGAACCTTGCGATCCACCACCAAACCCCAAGCCCAGTCAGAAAGGTAACTACATTGACCATGATCAGTCCGCCGAACACTTCACCCCACGTGTCTGCATCGCTTGGTAAACACTCACTGATCATTCATTTTGTTCTAATTTTGCAGTTGACATAATCGACCAAGAGATGCCACCGACAGCGCCAGAAAAACCGTACGTCATCCTCACCGAGCAGCCACAGTCGAAAGCTCTTCGGTTTCGGTATGAGTGTGAAGGACGTTCAGCCGGGTCGATTCCCGGTGTACACAGCACTCCGGAGCAGAAGACTTTCCCGAGCATCGAAATCCATGGCTACAAGGGCCGAGCAGTGGTGGTGGTGTCCTGTGTCACCAAGGATCCACCCTATCGACCCCATCCGCACAATCTGGTCGGCAAAGAAGGCTGCAAGAAGGGTGTCTGCACGGTGGAGATCAACAGCAGTACCATGAGCTATACCTTTAGCAATCTGGGAATCCAGTGCGTCAAAAAGAAGGATATCGAAGAAGCACTCCGCTTACGGGAGGAAATCCGGGTGGATCCGTTTAAAAGTGGGTTTCTAAATTCATTGCCAGCATTCAAGTCCCATTTCTAACGAATGCTTCTTCTTTCCTTTACAGCTGGATACGGCCACGCCAGGCAACCTGCCACCATCGATCTCAATGCCATCCGCCTCTGTTTCCAGGTATTCTTGGAAGGTCAACAGCGGGGTCGGTTCACGGAACCGTTGCAGCCAGTTGTGTCCGATGTGATCTACGATAAGAAAGCGATGTCCGATCTGGTGATCTGTAAGTTAAGCGACGTTACCGCCCCGATAGCCGGTGGCAGAGAGATTATTCTACTGTGTGAGAAGGTCGCCAAAGAGGACATTGCCGTGCGGTTTTACGAAGAACAGCACGGTAACATCGTGTGGGAGGACTACGGTGAGTTTCAGCATACCAACGTGCACAAACAGGTGGCCATCTGCTTCCGAACGCCACGATACCGAACGTTGGAGGTTGAACAATCTGTCATGGTGAGTTGCTTTTACAAATCTCGGATTGATGATTTCAATAAACAATCCTCATTTACAGGTGAACATCCAGTTAAAGAGGCCATCGGACGGTGCTACCAGCGAGCCGCTGCCATTCGAGTTGGTGCCACTAGACTCAGGTAGGCGTAGATTCTGGGCACTTCAGCGTGATGTACTTAAGAATGACTCTCCGGAAAACGAGGTCTTCAAGAAGATCCTTCTGGAGAGTGCTGTTCAGGTGGAGAAAAAGACTCCCCCAATCCAGGAATCCGATGAAGTCATTGTGTTGGATACTCCGATAGCCGAGAACAAACCGATCGTGACGGAACAGATCCCCAGCGATCAGAAAACGACCGAATGGATCGAGCGAAACGAATTCGACGACGTTAACAATAATAGCGTGGTTTCCAGCGACGACAATCAGTTGTTCTCGAACGTATCCATTGAACAGCAGGTTCCGAAAGAGGACGAAGACAAAACTCTGAACGAACTGCTGGAACAGGTGGCGGAACTAGACGAGATCTACACTGACCATCAACTTCGTCGCGAAAATATGATCATTGAGAATGAGTTGAAGAACTTGGAGAAGACCGTTCCTACCGGTCTGGTTGAGAATGGGGATAAGATGGATATCGACGACGTCTTTGATGATGCAGCCACATACACTAGTCTGCAACGTGCCTTCAAGAATCCGGTTTCACTCTCTTTAGGTCCCCCGGTTCCACCTCGGCCTCATTTTCAGCTAGAACTGGAGCCTGGTGTCTACGATGCCGTAGAGCCCATGCTCATCTGTCCACCCATGATTGAAGTTAGCTCATTAAAACGCGAAAGCAAAGAAGATGAAAAACTTCCTCCTCTTCCTCCGAAACGTGCTAAACCCAGTTCTCAGAATAAGGAAAATGCCATCGTCGATACCGGTGACGAAGCTATTCTCCACAGTATCATTCGCAAGGGTTCTATGCGCAGTCTCACCCCACGTCCCCAGTCAGATCAGATTATCATTATGAAATCTCCCGACAGTCCCCCCAATAAGAAACTTCCTCCTACTCCTCCTGCCTCACCTACTAAGAATGAGTACGGCACGTTACCCAAAAGTAAGAAACCAGGCTTCTTCTCGAAATTGTTCTCTCGCAAGAAGAGCAAATCCGATCTTTCCGCCAGTACAACCACTCTGACGCAGAAGAGCACCTCAGGTGCTTCGAAAGAACCAAGCTTGGCTAACTTTAAGTCAAACGATTGCAGTCGTGACTCGGTACGTAGCAAGGCTTCAGTTGTTGAAAAGGGTGGCGAAAAGCGGAAAGCTGGTAAACCAGTCGCGCGCAGCGTGAGCAGCGTTTCCTGCAAGCGTCCGACCACCGAGTCCAATCCAGATGTTATCTACATCCCATTGAAGGGCGATGGTCCCACGACTAATCTAATTGCTCGTACTGGCAGTGGTACGCATCTTTCCCTGCCGGGAAACGATTCATACGAACGGGCCAGTACAGCTTCTCTTCCACCCTTGGATCGAAAGACGGTCAGTGCCCTGCAGCTGGACGTACCGATGCAGGATGGCAATTTGGAACTCGTAGCCATTGCCGATGCTCGAAGTATAAAAAATCTAGTCGAAGGAGACTACGGCATCAAACTGGATCCCAGTGTAGATCTAACCGAGGCTGAACACTTTGCTCTCTACACCTCAATAGCGCCCAATGCTTCACTCAGCGAGTTTGACGAAACCTCCGCCTATTACGCCTCAGTTGAACCCGGTCCACTTTCACACTTACGCCCTAACAGTACAGCATACAGCGCAGACGTCTAAGCATCCTTACATTTCGCATCTAATTTTCTCCATATCATCCCTAGATTTTAAACGTTAACAGCACAACTCAACAACATTTATTGACAACTTGTACTTATTTCTATGTGTTTGTAGCCAATCCGCAACAGAAACGCAAACGGCAAAAGCTTAATACCTGGGACACCCCAGAACACATGCCAGAAGCAACCCGTAAGTGTCCCCCAGTATCTTCCGTGATCTCTCTCTCTCTATCTCTTCCACCTTTTCATATTCTATTCCGCTCAAATTCTGCGCATTTAAGCATCAACTCATCATTATGTTTTACAAATCTTCCATCACTTTTCATCACTCATATGTACACTCACCCCCACAATCACACCTAACTATACTACTGGTTGGCGGTCTCCTTAGTTAGTTTAAATGCGCGTCGTTGAAGCGCCTACTTTGTCGCGCGGAATGCGCTTTGGAATTTGCTCTCATTTTGCGTGGCCATCTGCGTTGGAACCACTATAAAAATACTCAATACATTGGTGTTGGTTGGTATCATTGGAAAACATAATAAACTGGTGTTGGGAGCTTTGTTTGTTTGGGAAACTGTTGCTCTATCCACAATGAGAATTGGCCAACGCAAACGTTGTAGATAAGACAGGGCAGGAATTAGGATAATTGGTATTATTTGGAAACTGTTAGCATTTGATGGCGACAAAAAGGTCGATAAACAAACAAACAAACAGAAAAACAAATTGTTAATTGGATAGTTTATATGCGTAAACATGTTGATAAATAAGAAATGCTAGTCAAAATCATAACGATTACCATAACTAGTCAAACTTGATCCTCAACTAAGTCAATATTTGGAAACTGTTGAAATTTGGAATTTGTACTCACTAAAGCAACCGGAAGCCAAGTAATCATCGAAGACTTTTATTCTGGAGAAAGTGGAGGAAAGCGATGATTTTTTTTTACTAGGAGAGTTTTTTTAGGCGTACGGTGAATGTTTTCTACTTGACAGAATAATAACGATAAGATTACTTTTACTTATAAAATTTGTATGTTGATCATAGGAAATAAAAAAGTGAAACCCAAAATCGAATATAAAATATAAACAATTGTTAGCTGTACTAGCACCTATTGATAGTCCTAATATTTTTTAAGATCTGGATTTTTTGTCACAACGGGCAACTAATGGTGCAATTGAAAGTGAAATAAACTATACATTGAAATCATACATGATCCAAAGGTTTTCTATCTGTCAGCTAAAGTCACTACGTTCTAGGTTTGGTTAGTACATTTATTGGTGAAGGTTTATTGCATATTGTAACAAATGTAAGTTCTAGTGTCCTTAATCACTCTACGTTATGTGAGCTTTCCTGTTGGTTTTAAAGCATGATTTTTGTATTATCTTGGGTTTCGGTTTGTTTTAGCTTCATCCATTTTTCACCTATCGTTGATTCATACCACCAATTGGTTATTTTCATAACGCAACATTCACTTACTTTAACCATTTGATTTTTGCATGTATTGTTTATCTAACAACTGGATTGATTGCAATAAGCAGTGGAAAAAAATACCCTCATAATTAATGTTGATTCCTCGTTTCCACAGACCATGCCTACTATGGACAATTGCCGGGTTTAAATGTACCGGGAGATCCTATCAAAACTGAACCCAGAGGTGAGCTCAGTTTTTAATAAATAATCTAACACATGTTTACTTAATTCTTTGTGCGCTTTCAGATTCACCAACTCATCAGTTTCCCAATTTCCCAGGTACCTATCGTCCTACGAACGAATCACCGTCTCCGATAGAGCGGTCTCCACGGTACGGTGGAACTACACCAGTTGGACCGACCTCTCCCTATAATGCTGCCGTTACCAGCATAACCCCAACACCGGGTGGTTATCAACCCAATCTTAACAATGATTTTCTGCTGAACAATCCGCAGTTCCAGAATCCGTACAACTTTGCCACACCGTCCCCAACGAACGGGCAACCCATGTATCAGCAGTTGCCAATTCAGCCAGTCCAGCAGCCGTCCCCGCACCAATTCCAAACGCCCTCTGCCGTGAACAACGCACAACAGTTCAATTTGAGCAATCTCGTAAACCTCCAGGAGGCGTCACTCGGGCTGCCCGGCCCCAGTGGAGTCCAGCCTACTGCGATTTTTCAGCCAAGTGGCAACACGAACGAGCTCAATCTCAGTAGCCTACTGTGTATGGATTCAGCGGAGCTGAAATCGCTGATGGCCAACATCTCTACTTCGGACATCAAACAGGAACAGCAACGAATTCAGCAGGAAGCTGAAACCCTTTCGGACAGTTTCACAAGGCTAACTACGAACGGGTTAAATAACCTAGATAAATAGTATATGATGAACAAGTGAAAGGGGAGGGAGGGTATTTCGAGCAAGCGATCAATGTGTACATAAATTTTACCAATTAACACCTAATCTGTTAAGTTTTGCTTTGGACAGTTTAAAACAATGTATTTGTTTTTGATAAAAAAAAGGGTTTTTGATTGTTGATCCGAAACAACCCGAGATTTGCCGGCACTTCTTCTAGGTTCATAGTGTTCAGACTCCGTATTCGTCAGCCATACAAATCCAGGGATGGAAAACTTGATAGTTGATCAATGGCTTTGTAATTTTTCAATAATATTTTACCGTTTGACATTGATGTAAATGTAAACAATGAATTTCAGAAGATTTTACTTGGGTGTGCATACATTGTGTTTCAGAGCAACTATTGACCAAATTTGAGTGCTCTAGGACCCTGACAATAATAGGTTAAGGTATTGTCGAAGCCAACATTTCCCCTACCTAATAGGGTAGAGTGCAACTTCGTCGCAATCTACCGTTCTATCGAGATAACATCAATGAGCAGCAGTTACATGCCAAATGATGAATCGGGAAAACTCGACCTTCTCCGATTTGCATGAAACTTTGCATAATGGATCATATCATTCGAGCAGTTTAAAATGACATTTCCTACCACTCGAACTTTAACGTGGAACAATATTTTGATATTTTTTCTTCTACAACCTCGAGAAAATAGGGTCTTTTTTGTAATATGCTTGAAAAATCTGGAATTTATTGTTTCATTTCCGTAAAATCGCTGGTAGAAGGTCATCTCAAAACTGCTCGACAATATGATTAATTGTGTGTTATGGACAATCATCCATATTATTGCAAAAATCGCTAAGAGGAACAGTTTGCATCATGTGAACCATGTGGTGAAAAGCGGTCATTTTGTGTTGATTGGAATGGTTTGAAGAGCTTGGTATTAATCTCTTTGTATTTGTTGGTTTCCTATAGATTTCGAAATTGAATGAAGACGTTTCCCTGATGATGAGAAGATCTAAGAAGGGGAGTTTGCCGTCTATCCCTTTTTCGTAAGTAAATTTGATTTCCTTGTGAACGTTGCTTATGGCCTCCAAAATTTTGCATAAATCGTCCCTTTTGACAATGCTGAAAATGTCATCCACGTACCTACACCAACACTTGGGCCACAAATTCCTATCCTCCAGAACATGTTCTAGGCTAGCTTTGAACAATTCACATACAAATGGGGAAAGCGAATTGCCCATAGGAGCACCTTTAGTTTGTTTGTAATAATTTCCTCTGAAAATGAAATAATTTTCCTCCACACAAAGACGAGTAAGCTTGAGCTAGAATCCTCACGTTACTTCAGAAGCCAGTCCTTTAAAAGGCAGATATCTTCCTTTACTGGTACACTCGGAAAAAGTGCCTTGACATCGTTTCATTTGGCATGACTTCATCTTCTTGAATCTCTCCTGATGCCTGAAGGTGATTTGCGAATTCCTGTGTGCTGTTGCAAAGAAGTTAGGCATGTTTTCAAATCCCTCTATTAGCTATTTAACAAGCTTAGGAGTGGGGGATCCTTCAGCCGAGATAATCTCTTTCATTTCGTTTCCTGGTTTGTGAATCTTTGGTAAACCTTTGATCCTAGGTAGAATAGGGATTGACATTTTCAATTGACTCGTCTTGTTGCCAATAAACGCCTTGCACTCTGCCTAAACTCTCTTCGGTGTCAGTAAGAGTTCATTTTCTAGAGCTCTGACCAAAAGCATTGTTAATCAGTAATATTGTCTCTTTACAGATGCAATATTTCTTAGTTGTATCAACCTGGTTGAAGTGCATTGGATTCACCGCAGAAATTACGTTAATTGACAGTAATAGAATGTGAACACGATTGTTGTATAGATGTAATTGAGCAGCCATATTTTTCTATTTTGCTGGGTTTTGGTCTACAGTATATCGTAATATATATTGTTCATTGGGCTTCAAGTGCGTCATCTATCGACTACATGACGAAATTTTTTTTAGATTAAAATTCGACTCCAAGGATCAGGGGATATGTCGATTAGCAAACCGCTGAACTTTCAATTCCTTCCACGCGCTCCTGAATTGAGCTTACCACCATTTAAAATGCTATTGAACTCGCAGCACAGTGTAATGTGACTATGATGACACTTTCAACTCAACTACTTACGTTTGTGATCGCCAGTGCTTTATATATATATAACTCAATAAAACATACTATTCACACAATCTACCTTCGCTTTGACTTTATTGCTCTACAGAACACAGCACTCATTTGTAATGATCTATTGACTAATGTTAACCCGACATATTTGGTTATTGGTCATCTGTCTAATCGCTCATCCTCCTCCATCCTCAACATTGACCAACACTTTTCGAGAATGAATCCATCGATTTCCACTTCATTTTTGGATCGTGATTATTTCCCTGCAACATCTCACAACTCTTTACTGTCAGAAAGCTGATTTTCGGACGATCAATCGCCAGTTCTGTCATGCTACTGGTCGGACAAACGCGATGGGGAAACCTTGGTGATCCCTTGATCTTTTCCCGTAACGTTGGAGCGATTGACGATCGCCTATTACCAGCACCTGCTGAAGGTAGCACAAAGTTCACCCTCGGTTCAGATCCCGTTAAGCGCAGGTCTTCGTCTGATGGCTTATTGATCGTAAAAATATCTGTTCGGCTACGATCACCCAACGAAGAGATTTCATCCTCTGCATCCACTTCAGCAAAGATCGTTAGTTTAGATGGCAGTACGGTTGCAACATTTAACCCTCCAACAACCGATGTCGTTTTATGTAATCGTGCTCCAAACAGATTCCGGATTCGATTCAGTACTCCTCCACTATCCTCCACACTGCATGATCGGAATCTTGACAATCCCAATCGATCTCGACCCGTTTCGATCTGTGGTTGAGAACTAAACGTAACATTGCGTTTCATTGGCGATAGCATAGGATCAACCGAGGGCCAGCTCGCCCGCGGTATGATCGGTGGTAGGACTGATAGTAACAACATTGGTAGGCCACCGGTTGCACTGGTATTTTTCGACGAATTGTTACTGAAATTTTCCTGAAATACCATTGGCTTGATATTCGGGTCCGACGATCGTGAAGACGATCGGGAAGATTTTTCGCTTAAAAGTCTCTCCAATCGACTGATTTCCACATCCAGGATCTCGATCTCTTTTTTATAGACACGGTTCTGAACTTCCACTCGAAACTGAAGCTCCCGTCGATCGTCTACCACAAACCGTCGGGTATTGCATTCCATTTTAAGTCCCATGCTATGGATCACCGGATCGTACACTTCACCCTTTTCAAAAATGTCTTTCAACTTTGGAAGAAACAGCAGACATAGTGTGGCTGTCGTTGAGATTAATATGAATCCTGCCGTGATCACGAAGGCCAACGTTACCCTCTCGTACAGAAGGTTTGCCAAAACCACTACGCTAGCGCTGGTGATCACTACACTGTACACCGAAATTCCGATGTACTGTGAATCATTCAAAGCGGGTATTTTTACATTCCGAGTCTGCCAGGCCATGTAGACACCCACGATCAGCAGTAGTCCCTTGTAGGCATACAACATCCCAAGCCAACTCTCATAATGCCTCGATCGACATAGCTCAACTTGAGGCAAGTACACTACAGTCCTGTCAGTGGAACTAATCTCCAGGGTCAAGTTGTGCAAGTGTCGCTCCATAGGATCCGCCGCCATCCAAAACGAAACTACAGAGGCATCCAACAGTAGCAGTGCACCAATCACCGAGATCAACTGAGTGTCTCTCAAGATCTTATCCTTACACAATCCCCCGGCACTGTGGGTGAACAATCGATAAACGCGGAATGTCTTCGCAAACATGGATCCGAACGCGAGCGAAAATCCAGCCGAAAGAAAATAGATCCTTGCCATACAGATCGTCGAGAAGGTCACCGATGACCATGGAAGCGTAGAATGGTCCAGTCCGAGTAAGATCGTTGCCATGTATACCAAAATGCAGCCGGCGACTGTGATCGTGCTCAGTTTTGGACTTGATAACTTGATGGCCCTGGAAAGTAAACGATCATGGATAATATTACTGTGTCCAAGAAATACCTCCAGCCGCACTTACTTTAGCTTTCGAAAGTGTAAATTCAGCCCAAGAAATAACAGCGAAATTCCAATCCCAACCATGGATAAAACCACTACCGCGTAGAACGCCAACGGCGAAATAGTGTCAACGCGCAGTCTCAAAATTCGCTTCGCAATCGGCACCTGTTCGGATTCCCACTCCACCGATCCGCACTTGGGGCATCCGAAATCCAGCGAACTGTTCTTCGGGTAGTAAAATGCGATCAACTGCAGTGCACCATTTTGAATCTGATGAAACGAAGTCGTTCCAACGCGATCGGCACCGTCGAATGAAACCGGACCGGAAATACCGTTGAACTTCAGGCTATCAAACTGGTGGAGAAGTTCTTTGGCCATGTCGAAGCGGGTATAGTCATAGTGAGCCAATCGTGTTCGGTTTAGATGAGCCACCTGTGTCCATGTACGTTCGGCACCACGCAGAGCCAACGCGATGGCCCACACCGCATCGTAAGTCTGTGGAGCGAATTGCGATACCGAATCCGTTACATTCATGTCTGACAATTTCTGGAGAAAAATGTCATTTGTCTGTAAAGGAAACTCTCGATTATGTGAATATACATGATTATTATTGTTTGACTCATGCATACCAGTCCACTCAAGGCTGTCCCCATACCAACGATACTGTTATAGCTGGACACGAGCAGAACGTTTTCGACTGCCTTCAGCAGAATCGGCAATGGACATGCGGGATTCTGCACAAGCCACCAAAATGAAATATGTGTATCTTGAAGTATCCACGCATATTCAGTTCCAAACATACCCAAGTAGTAGGCCTAGAATGAAAAGGAACACAACTACTCTTCAAACCTATCGAATTAATGCCTACTGCGGTTTTTGTACCTCGCAAAATACCTTCGGAGCGATTTCATGAGAAAAACTTCCAATAATCACTCGGATGTCTTTATCCTGAAAGCAAAAATAAAAATCTGCATGAGAAAAAATACACCGCTCAGGAACAATAACAGTTCATCTATTTGAACAACCAAAATCTTACCCCAAATCGGCATCATTCCGGGAAGGAAACATTACAATACTACGCACTACTACTGAGAAAGGGTCTACGGTGTGGTTCGAGGATACAACAATGCTACGTGTGTGTAAACATTTTTTTACTGCATTCATACTGTGAACAGGATACGTATGATAACACGATAAACGAGATAAAAATATGGCTTATGGGGGAATAGAGAGTTGGCAGAGAGGGAGGGTTGGTCGGGGTCTTGACAACATAATACCCGTAGCAATTTGAGCTGCTCCTTGAAATCAGTTTCGGCAAACGAAATCGTGGCGGCACAGGTGATGTTGGCCAGTTCGAGCTCGGTTACCAGGTCGTTCACTGCCAGCGAGTGACCTTCTTCATTTTCCGAGAAGGTGGCTACCGTGTCCCAGCCAAAGTGTTTGATAAAGGCAATTCGGGCGGGATTGTGCGAGGAATCCGGTGCTACCGTCCGAAAGAATAGAGGAAACTCACGACGATCGCTCAGCGCTGGTGACGTTGAACCGAAGGAAACCTAGAAAGATGGTGCATTGATTGATACTAGTTAGTAGGCGGGGGTTGTCTTAATTGAACGCAAACCTGCACAATGTTCCAGTATGGAACGACCTTGGCTAGGCTTTCGGTGACTTCCGAGCAAGCAGATCCTAGCACCATGATAATCCGTTTATCCTGATGGGTGTAGAGAGCGTGGAAGAAGCGATCAATTCCAATGCCCGGATCGCACTGAAATGAAATAAACAAACAATTAGCCATGCGTCTCCATCGATGGGTGTTGGATTGAAGGAGCTTCGATTTGTATGAAACTTTGCGTAATTGTACGCCATTTTCAAAATGGCCTCAATGAAATTTTTCAAAACATTGTGGCACGGAAACGACATTTCTGATCGAAATGACGATCGGTCTCAGACATAAAGAAAAAATGTGTATTTCGTGGGGGGAATAAACAAATCATGTTTTTTTTTTAATTTATTTTACGGAAAAAATATAAAACGCCAAAATCTTAAAATGTCCTTGCCAAATCTTGTCCTTTACTAAGGACACTTGAAAGCTGACAAAAATCGTAGAACAAGAACTTTTGGTCAAAGTTTTGATCAATCTTTTAATTTTGTCGAACCTCTTAACGGAATCCCTTTATGGGGAGCTTTTTTTAAAGTGTTGATTTATTTCCTTTCCTAGTATCTTTTGAAAGATACGCGTATTTCGTCTACTACTTGCAGATTTCATCAGTGCCAAGTGGTGTTGAGTACTTGACACTGATTAAGTCTGCAAGTAGTAGACGAAATACTCGTATCTGTCAAAAAATAAGTAATTATGGAGGAAATTTCAAAAATAGAGTCAAGAAAAAATCAATGAGAATTGATAAAACTACATAACAAAATTTCATTAAGTATGCTCCACCAAAATATATTGCTGTAAACGAACTCCATTATTTTCAGGAAAAACAACACCAAACAGAAATCCATTTTCCAACAATACGTGTAAAACAGTAGTTTATAAAAAAAAAAATCAAATCAGTGAAGTGATTGTATGATCACTTTTACTTGTTGTCTAAGATTCTATGTCATTTCTGACCTATTACTTATAACCTCAAAAGGTTCGTCACCCAAAAAAATGGCTCATGATTTAAAGAAGAAATAAGTAACTTTTGAGTATATTCGGTTTTCAAAATCAACAACCTTTCAAAGAATAGCTCATGGAAGAAAGAAGTAGTCCACTCCAAGGAAGAAACAACTTTTGGACATTTACGGTTTGATTATTGAACTTTAACCTGTCAAAGAATAGCTCATGATGCACAAAAGGAGTCAACTTCAAGTGAGATATGTTTTGTGAAAAATTGTACACAGCTCATGATATAAAGTAGGCGTCAATTCCAAGAGATAGGAGTTTTCAAAAGATTTTATTTCAATTAACAACTCAGGATAATGAAGGAGTCATCTCCTAGAGATTGAGATAAATTTTGAAATTTTGTGTTTGTTTACTTAAATTGTATTCGAGTTTAATTTATTTGCTTAACTCATTGTATTGATGTTCTTCTTCTTCTTCTTCGCATTTCAAGCTTATTGCACATCGCATATTAGCTTATTGCGTGCTCTCAACTTAGTGTTCTAAGATGCACTTCCACAGTTATTAATTGAGAGCTTTCGATGCCTGTACCATTTTTGCATTGATATGATTGTGTGGCAAGTCCAATCATACTTCTATATGCCCAGGGAAGTCGAGAAATTTTCCAACCCGAAAAATTCCTAGACCGAACCGGGAATCGAACCCAGCCACCTCCAGCATGGTCTTGCTTTGTAGCTGCGCCTTTACCGACTGAGCTAAGGGAGGCCCCATTGTATTGATGTTTCAACCTTTAATCCCTTAAAGCTTTTGTCCTATCAAACTTTTGTCCGTCGATTTTTTATTCTTCAACAATGTCTTACAGCCGTTCTTAACTTTGGCATTTTGATCATAAAGTTAATTTACTGAAAATAGGAGAAATTCTGCTGATGAATGATGCTCAAAATTGTATCAAATATATCAATAATAATCAAAAGAGCAAGTTTATCATTAATGAAATACCTATAATGAATCGCAACTATAAACAATCTAATCTAATCTAACACCAACACAGCCAGTACATGAAAGCATCCTGGAAAATGATAGATATACCTCCATCCTTTTTCATGTCTATTTGGTATATTTTGAACATCAGAGATGCGCAAAATATATCAAAACGGCCAGGCCTACTGTGCAGCTTTTAAGAGACAAGATGATTCAGAAACATCGGGCCTGTTAAAATCAAAGATTAAAACACGATGCTTCAGAATCCAGTAAATGGATGAAACGTGGACATCTCGAACCGTACGTTCCGCTGTATTGTTATTTATAAATGATTGGTCGTTGGGAGCATCTAATCTAAAAAAGTTAAGTGTTGCTCAATTTTCCTCGAGTGGTTGGGACATGAGCACTAACTCTTGTCCTAGCCTATGTGGCTTATGGTTATAGCGCCATTACTCGCTTTCTGAAAAGAGAAAAATAGAATAAAAGGAGAAAGGAAATGGAGGAAGGAACCCTAGTTCTATCTTCCCTTGAGAAAAAGCGGGTATCTAATCAATCTACAGGAAAACTTCGCTAAGACTCACAATGGCCCTTATTTCGGGTGTCACTTCACGGTGAAAACGAAGTAAAGTGACCAGTTGTCACTAACGGTGAAGTGATTGCCATGTAAATCAAATGGGAATCACTTCACCGTGAGTGACAAGTTGTTACTTCACCGTGAAGTGACATCGGTAATAAAGGCCAATGACTCGTGAACTTTTCCTTTTGTATGCTTCATAAAACCTCGCAAAATTTTCCAACGCTGAACACGAACAGGTGAGAACTAGATTTCATTAAAGAGTAATAGAATGAAAATATATATAAAAAATATAGGAACATACAAATGAAAATAAAGGGAAGATCTAAGCCTTTACTGCTGCACTACTGTTGAACCAAAGGCACTTCCAAGACTTTTCCGGCTTATTTCCAAACTAGTTCAAAAATTCTTCAGGTAAATCATGAGCACATGAACTTTCAAGAACAAAACATCAAACGTCTAAAACCAGCAAAAAAGGGCTAGGACGACTATCTTGTTGAATAAATCAATTGGCAAATCTATGTTGGAACTTGGCCATACCCACTCGTTCCCAACCTTTGACAATAGCGCGCTCGATTTCTCATCAAAATACAGCACGAAATCGGCTCTTCGAAATGATGTCTAAGACAAAGTTGTAGAAACCGAAACAGGTGAATGTATAAACAGGAACGAACTCACCATATGAACGATGGTTTGCCCGTGAAGCAAAAACTTGGAAGACTGTTGCATTTCCTAATTCTAGCTCAACACATTAAACCATTTAATCGGATCTTCAAAGAAACTCTTGCACAATCCGCTTCCAATCAGAATCATCGGGCTAGCTTGCCAATCACCTAATAACAGCTCTGACGAAAAGGATGCTGATAAAATACACTTTGAATTAATCATGTTTTGTTGTTTTTGACATCATCCACATCCAGAGGGCCAGTCACTTCGAATGTATGGGAATGGTAGGAAACCATTTGGAAATGCATGAGAATTTTCAGTTTTTATTCATTATCGTCTTTATGGGCAGTTTTAGATGCACAAAAATTGCACGAGTACATTACTATGGTGATAAGGTAAACACTCGTTTATTTGTTTCCTTCTGTGAAAGCATGTTTAGTCACAAATCGTGGATTTTCTGATATTCTCCGTACTGCAAAAATGATTTTCCTACCACTGAAGGGGCGACATCTCTCGGATCTTCAGTATAGCTACTACTCAAATCATATAATTAATTGCATTGCACTCGATCACTTGTACTTTCTTTGCACTAAAGTTCTTTTCTAGAACTATGTTATCGAGTGGCACATTGTTTCGGGCTAAAACGCTGTGAAAAAATCAATCACAGAAAAACTGAAACCTAAAATTTGACACTCGGACATTTTTCACGTCCTTACAGAAGCAGAGCACACTTCGATCGATCTTTTCACCACTTTTCTAATGAATCGCAACTATAAACAATGACAATAAATAGCTCAAATATAAGCAATTAAAAATTAAGCAACAATTATGGTCTTTTGATACGTACTATGAGAAGGAGTTAGCTTTATTTGAAACAAATTCCATTCACTAAGAAAAACGTGCCATTTATAATTTCTCCATGAAAAACGTATTTCTTGTTTTGAAAGTATGCACAAGTACATTAATTCGACGATAATATGAAAAAACATTATAATATCTTCAAATTATACGCATGGCATACGAAATATTGAATATGGTAATGTCAGGCATAACATTTGATAACAGCACAAAAGCATTTGTAAACAAACTTTCTAAGGCCCTTTACACGCGAACCAAAGTACGCCCACGCAAACCAACAACATCATCGGATAGGGGCAACTATCACCTTTCCGAAAATGGTATTGATTTGCGTGAGCGTACTTTGGTTCGCGTGTAAAGGGCCTTAAAAATTTTGTTTACAAATGCCGTTATCAAATGTTATGCCTGATGTACATTAAGTTTTATTCTCACAAAGTTAGAACCGTTAAGTTTGTTCGTTATATTAGATACTAGACCAGGGAAGAACTGACTTGCACTCATTTCCAATGTTTGTGTTTCTTATTGAACTCAAAATATTTATCATCAAAGCAGGGCTTATTGTTTGACATGAAGAATATGTATGGCTAACGGCCAGTTCATTTAAAATAGAGAAAAAAAAGGATAAGGGTTGTGTCCAAAAGACGACCGCATTGCTGATGTAGGACTCATTAATATAATTTAAAAACAAAATAATTGATTTTGAAATAATAAAATTAAATTTTTGACATTCGATCCTTTATTATTCATATTTAGGTTCCAAACATGTCCACCAAACTTTCGGAAACTTAGTAATGTTAGTCGTGGCAAAACAATCTTTACGTTTCAGAACTATTACAGACAAGTGGCTTTCAACTGAAACTTATTTAAGTTAATTTAAATTCAGTTTATCTTTAGCTGTCCTCAACTAAAAATCTATAAAGTAGCAAACGTTGTGAATAATGGGAATGCCAATTTGATTGTCAATCATGCTCATGCTCATTAATTGTAGATTTTGTGCCTGAATTCCAATGGCAATCCACCGTTAGAGAAATGTGCACACTTCGTTCATATTGGAGTGTAGCTAGGCATTTTATTTTGCTGTATCTCAGTAAAAAACATGCCGAGATTCAGCTAATAAACGAGAGTATTTTTGAGATTTCCTAGCTATGCCCATCTCGACAATACACTCTAAGTGTGTATGGTGTTTAAATTTTGTAAGCATTTGATCGATTAAACGAAAAATTATATATTATGAGTTGTGACAATATTGCTTGAAACCAACGAAGTCCAGATAGAGCTGGAATTAGGGCGTAACAGATTTTGAAAAACAATGACTTCTCTCGTTGATTTCTAGCAACTCAAGGCACGCCAACACAAACCAACATATCCATAGGGTAGGGGAAGCCTTCCCCTATTCGATGGTAATGTTGATTTGCCAGGGAGAGGCATGTCTTTCGAGAAATCATCGAGAGAAGTCATTGTTTACGAAATCGTTTATGCCCTAATTTCAGCTCTATCTAGAATTATCCATCTGATGAAGATGTTAATTCAAAGCAAACCATAGGTAGCCAAATGGCACTTTCGTGCCGCTCAACTGAACTTATCTCCATTAGGCCTTGTCCATCTGAACATCTTTACTGGTATCTGTAAATTTCGATATTACAATGAGTTATACAAGTCGACATGCAATAACGTCTAATGGTGTGTCCAGTGTCCTCCGTCACGAACCGACTAAACTTATACTGGAACGCTCTTTTATAGCCTCACGTAATCGGCTCGTCTACTCTACTCTAATGGTGGTAAGCTCCAACCGGTATTATCCTCGGATTAAATCCCGATCAAGAATGTCCGGCTGGTATGATGTCGACATCAGAGTTAATCAACATAACTCTGAGCAAACATTTTTCAGATCATACAAACAGGGACGGTATTAAAAGCTAATTCGAGTTGGAGCTTACCGCCATAAGTGTGTATGGTGTTTAAATTTTGTAAGCATTAAATCGATTAAACGAAAAAATAGTATATTATGAGTTAATATTAGAGATAATATTGCATGAAACCGACGAATTATCCATCTGAGCCAATTTTTCGAAGTTCACAATCTAATGAAGATGTTAATTCAAAGCTAACAATAGGTAGCCAAATGGCACTTTCGTGCCGCTCAACTGAACTGACCTCCATTCGGCCTTGTCCATCTGAACATCTTTACTGATATAGTTAAATTTGGTGGAAATTTAGGTATTACAACGAATTATTCAAGTCGACCTGCAATAACGTCTAACGATGTGTCGAGTATTCTCCGTGATGAACTGACTCAAAATATACTGGAACGCTCTCGCGCAATCGGCTCATCTCTCTGTTCTCTCAATAGTCATAGCGAGCGAGCACATGATTGGTTGACTACAACTAAAAAGTTTGATCAATTTTCAATATGTAACCATTGATAAACAACTATCATCTTTATTTCAAACACATCGTACATCCAATCTAAATCAAATGGTGTGATTAAAATTGAAATTCAAATGACCATGTTTTAAGCGTTCAAAACCTAACGCTATTTCATCACAGATTTTTTTAATTGCATCCCAGTATAGTCCAAAAAAACTTCAATAGGAGTAAATAGGTTTAAAATTCCACAGCAACACAATTATGATTAACGTCTATTATGGCTATCATACATTATGGCCATGGTTGCAGAGAGTCATAATTTGACAGGTTTTATAAGTCAAACACTTAGATTACAACTTTTTCTTCGTTCCTAGCTTACTAGTACAAAATAGCATCAAAACATCAAATGACTAGTCAAATGATTCAATAATTCTGAAAAACGTGTTTTTATAGCAAACGATTGGCCGTAACTCTGATTACGGCCATTGTATATTATGGCAAACGATTATTCTGGCAATAATCATTATGACAATTATACGTATGGCAAACATCTGTACTAGACTGGCCTACAAAAATAAAAGTTCTGATTTTCCACGGGCCAACCTCTAGATTTGTGCCTTTAGGTGAGAAAACCATTCTCTGAAAGTTTAAGCTCATTTGGTTGTAAGATGAGCTGGCGCTTTTAGTTTGAAAAAATTATTTGATTCAGATTTTCAAAACTTGTAGTTCAAGCAATGAGTAACAACTTTGCTGCATTATGAATCCGGTTAATTTTATTGAGATATTCACTTTTTAATGTGAATTTTGTATATGACAATTTCAACGAAAATGCCGGCGCCGGTGGTATAGTGGTAAGCGTGACAGCTTTCTAACACCCCAATGGGTCTGGATTCAATCCCCAGCCGAGGTCGGTGGGATTTTTCTGAGGCATAAAAATCTCTGGTCACGTCTTCCTTCGGATGGGAAGTAAAGCCGTTGGTCCTGGCCCATGTGTGTTGTGAATGGGTGCGATATCCTACGCAGGTGTGGAAGCTGCCTTCCTGCACATTCGGTTGCCGTCAATGGATGGCAATCGATGTCCGTCGATGATTGGCACTAGATTGCGGAACAGAGACCGACGTTAAATAAAGGAAAGAAAAAAAATTCAACCAAATCCCCTTATACAATCATTAAACCAAAAGCACCAGTCCATGTTACGTCAAAAACAGCTGAAACATTCAGAGAGTGGTTATCATCAGCTGCCTGTATTTTGTTGCAATATACGAACAAAATGCATATATAAATTTAAAAATAATATCTACATAATACCAACTTGAATCGTGAGCTGCCTTGACAAAAGTTGTTCCTTATAATTTAAGCTAAGTGTGCTGAAATTCTGAGCTTAATCGAGATTCTGAACGAGTTTTATGTACAAAAGAGTGTAGGGATGTTATTTCTCCATACATTGCAACCAATCCCAAGTAAACCAAGTTTTATGAGGGTTCTGGACATCATGATTTAGACTTGTAGCATGCTTTAAAACCTCGATAAAACTAGTAATGTTACTTGGGTTATCTCCATATTAATTTGTATTCAAAAGCGCCAGCTTGTGTTACATGCTGTTTATGAGCAGAAATTTTCTGAGAGTGGTTTTCTCACCTAATGACACAAATCTGGGGATTGGTTGAAAAAAAAAACATATTTAAAAAACCCCATATAAATGTGGGCCAGTCTAATCTGTACGGCTAACATATTTATGGCAATTATCTGGTCACCAGATTATATTAAAGATTTGTATAATTTTTTTTTCAGATTCCGTACTGTTTAACCGGATGAACAGATTTTGTAATGGGGTTGTTGGAAGGTTTTTAAATAATTTTTAAATGTTATACACGGAAAATTTTCGAAAAAATTTTTGGCTATGAAAATATGTCGTAAAGTTGTAATACGTAAATATTCATTCGATGAAAAAAAAACTTGCTTTTACGCTACAGTCTATTGTAACTACCATGAACCGGGGTAAATTCTATAGTTTTTTTTAAGAATATTCTAAATATTTTTTATAACATTTATTTTTGTTCAAATATTAGTTGTCTTAAACAAGTACTCAGGATACTCAGAATTCATGGAAATTATAGAATTGTGTTTTGGGCTTACTTTTATAATACTCGATGAATGTTGAAAAACCTGCGTGAATCTCAAACAATTTAGGAATATGAAACTTTGAATGAGTATATAATCAGAAACATCATAAGCAATATGAAGACAACATTGAATTTGTGATGACTATATCGGAAATATTTGTAGTAAGTGATAAGACATATAAAAACTATGTAAACCATACTATACTAAAAACTACAAAATGGAGCCAATGTTTCAAATTCGTAAATAGTGCAGAGAGTAAATTTAATCATTATATTCTACCATTATCAAATATACCCCGTTCTACGGTACTTCCATTGCGTATACGAAGACACTGCAACATGTTATTGTTAACTTTGCATGGAACGTAGATTCCTTTTTAAAGGATCATTATGTTTCCCCATCGTACCCTGATTGTAAACGAAAAAGGATAAAATGTTCGAAGGTTTGTATAGCAAATTAATCACAAGATAAAAGCGACCCCCAAATCCTACAGACAAAAAATACCTCCACCCAAAAGCCACACACGAATACGTACCTTTGTATCATTCGTTAGCAGCTTCAGTGTGTATCCCAACAGCATCCCCCTTCGGTTGATATGCTGAACAGCTAGTTGAGCAGCTGCTAGTTCACTGTAGCCTTCCTTTCGGATCCCGTGCCGGGTGCTCAACTCGAACAGCCCCAGTATGGAGATCTCTCGCGAACGTTTCTTCCCGGTGGCTGGTCGTGTTCGTTCGAAAACCGTATTAATGGAATTTCTATTCAACACCTTCGTTTCATTTACCAACAGGACCGATTTATCTATGCTTCGCAGAATCCTACTTCTCGCTGCAAACTCCGGACCACGGGTGAAATTCTCAAAGTACTCCCCCGAGGACAATCCCAACGTCGACAAAGGGGATGGCATTCCAGCACCCGAAAGCTCCATAAACCACAAGAGGATAAACGCCAACCGCAGTAACATTGTTCACTTTAAAAGGGTTCTTTCGCCCCTTTTTTAGCACCCTTCCACTCACTGTTTGTCTTGCCTTTCACACATTCGTCACTTCTACTAAAACGGAACCATCATCTTCATTGGAAAACGTCCTTCCGAGTTGAAAGCTTGAGTGGGACTGTGTCTTGGCGCCAGTTTGAAAAAGTACCTCACTGCTCCTCCTAAACACGACTCCCAACTCCCACCCAAATCACGGAGAGATTTTTAGAGAATCTCGCTCCATGGCTCTCGCAATCGCTCTCCACTACATCTGATGGAAGCACGTGCTTGTTCTCCATAGATGCAACGAGCTGATAACGAGCGTCTATCATCCCGCCCCCCACCCATTGTGTATGCCATATGTTTATAAGTGAGGTGAACACAGACGATGGACGAACAGAAGATTCTTGAGCAACATTCTTCTCAAACGAAGGCCCGATCATCCAAGCGGCAAAACAAAACGAAGAAATCCATCCCCATCCGATACGGTTGGTTCGGCTGACCTGTACCTTTCGGGCTTTTCCACCTGCCTCCCTACACCTACTAGCCACAGCAAGGTAGGTAGCTAGGTACGTGACTACTACAATAGATTGGAAATATGTCGTAGAGTAAATATTAAATCGACTCTAATGGGGTTGTTGGATGGGAATTTTGTGCCCTTTGATGACGAGGGGAAGAAGGCGGATGACGGACGCATGATGGAAGCAACCCGAGATCGAGGGTTGCCCATTGCTAACTGGAAACTGTTCTAAGAGCGCGCGCCAACCACGGTGGAATGAAGCTGAAGAGAGATATGGAATTTCCCTCGGGAAAAGCTTGAGCTGTGATGGTGTTCACTCACTGGAGCTTGCGATTTTGTTCCTCTGAATGGGTCGGCATTAAAGTCCTCTAGTAAAAGTATGGACGACTGTCATCAGAAAACTGAAAATAGCTGTTCCAATCTAGCAAAGCAGTGCATGTTGACAGCAGGGTGTCTTCCATTCATTTTGACGAAAAACATGTTTTATGAAATTATGGAATAATAAAATATTATGATAATATTTTGTATGTGTAAGTAACAAGAAAAGATTGTAAAGTTTATGTCAATTGGAACAGCTTTTGGCAGACGTCCATACTTTTCCAAGAGGGCTTTGGTCAGCAGGTACTTAGGTAGGTACGTGATGCATGGCCTACCATATGCTGATGACGCGACGGCGGTAAAAATGGGCCTGAGCTTGCATCCGTTTTGCACCGTTTCCTCTCTCGCTAGACGATTTGTGTACCGATGGATGGTGGTACAGTGGGCTAGACATTTTAAAATATCAATAATTCGCTGTACCACACAAAATTCAAAATTTAACAGTTTAAGAAATCTTTTATCTTTATCTTTCTTTATTAAAGAGACTTTCAGCCATCTCTGTTCATCTCTGGTTTAAGAAATATTGAACTTTAAACTTTTCTTATATTTCATACAATGCGCTCTAATAGGATGTATGTTGTAGCTAATGAACTAACGCATAGGAACAAACTTATTATTGATTTGTGCACGGTGAAATCATTGATATTATTGATCTTTTCTGATCGATAGAACGGAAATGGGCGATTACGACGAAGTAACGCTCTACCCTATTGAGATTTTTGATTGTTTTTTTTTAAATATTTAAGCCATGGAAAGATTTTTAAGATAGAAAACATAGTCAAATTTCATACTTGCAGGAATTTTTAAGATTCCCGAACTAAGATATGTTTTCAAAAATCCCAGAACTCAAATGTGCAAATGTGAAATAAAAATCACTATACTGTACCTAAAAAAATCAAGGGTAATGGATCTGAAAGAAATGTCTGGATACCGACGCTGTATTTGTCTTTCCAATTGAATCCTTGATTTTTTTATAATTCCAGTTATTTTTAATAAGGTTTTAAAAGGACTTCAGTGATGATTCCAAGCAATTTTTTATTTAAATTCTACGGTAATTCTGAAAAGAATACACATGGATTTGAAATGAAAACCCCTTGAAAATTCTAAGGAAAATCCCAAGTTAATTTTGAGTAGACTTAGCTTTGAGGGATTGTGTGAAAGATTTTATAAAAAAATAGAAGGGTCTGTGCCTAGGGGCACGAACGGAAGCATGAAGTAGGACCGCTAGTGGACGGAACAAATGTGAACATTTCTTTTAATTGATAAATCATCAATTATCTTAACTCTTTCCGTTTTTTATTTGTAAGCGTAGTATTTATTTCAAAGAAAAAGTTGATGAAGAGAAGCCAAGGGACTGTCAACTTGAGTATTTTCGATTCATCTACTCGACTTTAAAAGGTGTATTTTGATTTTTTTGTTATTTATGAATTTTTAAGTTTTGTGCATTTTGGTATTAAAGTGTATTCAATTCACCCCTTACAGGATTTCCTTCCGAATTATATGAATGGGGCGGGGCGGAAAGTATCGTTTGTGCAGAATATGTAAAAAAGGAGGGACTTCGAGAGATTGAACTCGTGAGAGCTAATTTTCTCACAAATTTGATGTTATTGGTTTTCTGGGGACTGAATATACACCCAAAGCGAATTATTCCCACTTCTCTCAAATTCTATATGGATTTTTAATACTTCCTACCAGCGTGTTCTGGAAAATGGTCGGACGATGATTAATCTCACCAATACATTCGGGCCTACAATTCCACACCTTATATAGAGACCATTTTGAGCCTTGATAGCTAGCTGCTTGCGGGAACTGATGACCTTCACAAATGTCCAAATAACACTCTTATCAAATTTATGGTGATCCTGAAAAGGACAATTTTGTAGTGATGGTTGAGGAATACTGAGCTGAGCACGACGAGCTATTGATTCCGATCCTAGCCTAGCGGTGGGACTTCTTCCTCCTTCTCTATGGTTACTCATATGAGCTCTGCAGCTCGCTGCTTGCAGGCAGCCTTTCGTTGTTGTTGTTGTTGAAAGCACTCCTGCGGCTGCTACTGCTGCTGCTGCTGCTACTACTGCTGCTGCTGGACTGGACACCACCACTTACGGTGATTGAATGAGCACCGTTGAGTGGGACCGCATCGAATTCGATTTTTAAGTCTGTGTTAGGGAATGCGCAAAAACTCACAAACAGGCTGCTTTTTCATGGTATACAGTGTGATAATTCAATAATCAATAAATTATCTCAACATTTAGTGGCAAACCATTCATAAATTTTGGTAACATACTACAAATTCTATAATCCACTTTAAATTTCATATGTAAGCGCCGATTGAAACAATCTTTTTGACGTCACTACAAGGGTAATTGATTAAACGAAAGAAACGAATCGTGCTGAATGAAAGCCGAGGAAAAACTAATTGCACCAATATATTCAGGCCTACAATTCCACACCTTCTATAGACAGGTTGCGCCTTGATAGCTAGATGCTTGCGGGAATTGATGACCTTGAACCCTATTCGCACGCGCCCGAGGATCGAAGGCGAATGCCACTTCGACTTGTTTCGTCTACTTACTACTCTCTGACGACTGTGCTAGGGAAGCAGCATATGCATGTAGGTAATTGGTGGATTTGTTAGTTAATTCGACACTTTTGGACAATGCTGGACATTTACCAGTTTTTCAATAGTTTCTTGTTGAAAATCAACATTCGAAGCATTGTTATTGATGCGTAGCCATATTTCTGATCGATTGGTGATAAAATTATTGAAATTGGACCAGGGGCAGCTGAGTTATTAACGTTCAAAATCTTTCTTAATTTGTTACATGTTCCATTTTCGGTTTTCACAAAGTGTACCCCCATATAGAAATACGTCCTACGTCAAAATCTAAGCGTGAGATTCATGTGGAATATTTTTCAATCATCTTAATATTATTTCACTTTGCAAACAAATTTCGTTCCAATGACCAACAGGCGATATAAATTTTAACTCAATATTCCTTCATCAGTTGGTAGATCAGGGTGGTTTATTTAGCCAACCAACCATTGGGTCGAATATCATTGTGCCGAATGCCACTAGGCCTAGTGCCATTAGGCCAAATCAGTCATTAGGCCGAATTATTAAAAGCAACATATTTAACTTAAAGAACACTTTGGAACAGTTTTAAACACCCTGGGATTTTAAAATTGCTCAAGGTCCTATCTATCGTGTATCGTATCATAGACTGATATGATGTGTAAAAAAATTAAATTTTTGCAGAAAAAATATAACATCCAATACAGTAATGACCGATTTTGTCAGCCCCTCCGCGCTTCAGACTTTTAAATTTCAATAATTTTTCATAATCGTATTTCGAAAGCTTTCTCATTCATTTCCAAGCTAGATGTTTAGCTTTGCTGCAATAAAACCACTAAAAAGGCGCATGATTTTATAGAAAATTGGAAAACAGTTTCAAAATGGTGGCTTATAAAATCGGGTCAATACTTTACTGTCTCTTGCCGTGCGGATCTATTTGGTTTTTGCTGAAGGAAGTGTTACTGCTTGTAACCTTCGACGAATGTTTCAACCCTGTATACTATATTTTGGTGTCAGATTTGCCTTATGAAATACCAAATCATTGTATTTAAATATAAATTGTATGCAAGAATTAATTGCATTATCTAAATTAAAACCTATTAAATTTATTTCTATTTGATGAACTCCAATGCCGTAAAGTAGAAAACATATTTTAATAAAAATAGACCGAAGAAGTTGTGAACCGTTGTCACGCTTAATTTTGAAAAAAAAATCATTCCAAAAGACGAGCAGCACGATAAAAATATCGAATGTATTGTCAAATGAGACGACTCACAACCCTACGAGTCAGATAGGAGTTGTGCAGATAGGGTTTTCGAAAATCTAGCTAGCGTAAATCACGTGATACGATCGTCATCGATGGGTTGATGATCGTATGATGATAATTGGCTTGTTTAACTTCGAAAAATATACCTATTTTTACACATCATCTGATAGAGCTTTGTTTTCTGAGCACAACGATATTTTTATCGATCCTGTAGACATTCATCTCGATTTTTAAATCAATATTTAAATTTTTGATCGTTGACACTAAATCTATTCGTTGACAGCTCGCTCCCATACAAAGTCCCACCAAGGGGCGCTAAGGTGGTGATTTTTTCTAAT